GGAAGATACAGAAATCTTAAATAAATAAATAAATAGATAGATAAATAAATAAATAAGAAAAAAAATTAATCAGGAACACCAAAAGACCATCTCACCTTTAGGCAAGTTCAGCAGTCCTCTTTCTGAGGGTTCTTTGTGTCCAGTTAATGCATCAGTCCAGGCAAGAGCAGTTTCTTGCCCAAATGGTTATCAAACTCCATAAGGAGCCTCTTCAATGCCCATCTTCCTCTTGAAGTAGATTGGTGCTGCCAGGAGCAGACGTGTCTCATTGTCATGAAAAGCCCTAAGTTATTAAAACATTTAAAATGCCATATTCTGTAGTCTTTGAAAGATATGAAGAATGCCTATCTGAAATATATCTGTGCACATCTAGAAAATCTAACTAACATGACTACAAGCTTGAATATTATCGATGATTATCCATTAACAACATATATTTCCTATTATACATTACATTTTTAAATGAACTACACAATCGCAATACCTTAATCAAGATCAGAAATACATATACATATAACAAAATTGACCTTAAATTTATGTCAACAAGGCAAAATTTATACCAATGTAAATTATTCATATCTATATCATATCCCCCTTTAAATGTAAAAGAACATTTATTTATAAACAATATTTGGGAATATGGATGTAGTTATTTCTCTCCATACTGCTTCGTGCTGAATGGGGGCACTGTTAATCCGGTCTTTCATGGTATACTCTGTGTGCCAGCTTCATCTCAGTCAGTAGTTGAGTGAAGTGATTTTCTGAAGGTGTTCACTGCTGCAACCTTTCAGGAGGGTGTGGTCTATTATGCCATATTGGGATAGAAGCAATCCACAGGGTCTCATCCTTTGTGAAAACAAAAGAAGACTCTCTCAAAGGAACATATCCTTAGACCCAAATTCTGAAATCATAATACCTTATGGTATCCATTCTGGTTCCACTTGGCAGCCCATATAATGAAATGTCTCCTGTACTTAGCTCCTTTACAGTGAAAAGTTTCAAAGAAAACACAATAATACAAAGAATCTAGACTCTTTGAATTTTCCATTTTTATGTGGCTTATTTTCCTTTATTTCTTTTAATCTATAACTATCTGTACTCTGTCTCTTTAAAGACTTTACATTTTTTTATGGTTTTTCGAGACAGGGTTTCTCTGTGGCTTTGGAGCCTGTCCTAGAACTAGCTCTGTAGACCAGGCTGGTCTCGAACTCACAGAGATCTGCCTGCCTCTGCCTCCGGAGTGCTGGGATTAAAGGTGTGCACCACCATTGCCCGGCAAGACTTTACATTTTTTAAAACATTAACTTTATTCTCTATATTTTTTTCTTCTCTCTCCCAAGCCTATGTACATTTATCCAACACTGTGACCCATTTACAGGTCTTTTATGTCTGAATTTGTTCTATTGTGAATCTGTAATTTTTTTACTATCCAGGAGAACTTCTTAAAATGCTAAGCACTTCTTACAAACTTAAGTTGTACCATGAGGAGGGCACTTCTTAAAATGCTAAGCACTTCTTACAAACTTAAGTTGCACCATGTAGAGGTAATAAGGTACCTTCTGTGTCCTGCCCTGTCTAAACCTTAACTACACTGTTATTATGGTAATTATAATAGTTCCTGCCTGAGACCAGCAAAGATCAGCATGGCAGAGCTGAGCCACTCCTGCCTCAGAGCCATTTGATGCCCCTGAGCCACCCACAGTTCCAGGCACACAGCAGTCCACATTGCTATCAAGCAAGCCGTAGCACTTTACTCCAAATGCTTCATTCAAAAGCTCTGTCTTCTGTAGGAGCCAGACAGATATTGCAATGGTGGCACAGCCCAGGAAGCAGAGTTTTAAAACCTCAGCTTTTTTTTTCCCTTTGCGGCTGCTCAGTCAGGAAATTCTCTCTGCGGCACATCCTAGTAAATAGCAAAAAGCTATGTTAAACTCTGTTTTTTTTTTTCTGTGTTTAAAATTAAGCTCTCACAGGTTTTACGTGGAGTTCATTACCGCATTGAAGCACCACTCTGTAGAAGGAGCGACGGCTGTGTTCCTGCCTGGCTAGCTTTATACCTGAAATAACAACACACAAATTGTATTCTTTTAAACACTGCCTGGTCCATTATATCTAGCCTCTTCTTGGCTAGCTCTCATATCTTGCTTAACCGATTTCTAATAATATGTGTAGTACCACGAGCTGGTGGCTTACCAGGAAGGATCTTAACCTGCATCCATCTCAGAGAGGAGAGCTATGGCATCTGCCTCACTGCCTTCTTCCTCCCAGCATTCAGTTCTGTTTACTGCGCCTACCTAATTTTCTGCCCTATCAAAGGGCCAAGGCAGTTTCTTTATTAACCAATTAAAGTAACAGATGACCCTCCTCCATTACTGGGTTATCTCACTCAGGATAGTGTTTTCTATTTCTATCCATTTGCATGCAAAATTCAAGATGTCATTCTTTTTACAACTTAGTAGTACTCCATTGCTTATATATTCCACACTTCCTTTATCCATTAATCCATTGAGGGGCATCTAGGTTGTTTCCAGGTTCTGGCAATTACATAATGCAGCTATGAACATAGTTGAACAAATGCTTTTGTAGTATGATTGGCAATCTCTTGAGTATATTCCCAAGAGTGGTATTCCTGGATCCTGAGGTA